AACAAGATGAACATGAGCCTTCAATGCGATGCTGCGGCTAGTAAAGTGAGCAAAACGCTGGCTTGCATCCATAGATGCTTCTCAGGTAAATCTCGGGACATCATTCTCCTGTTGTACTCAGCCCTGGAGAGGCCGCAGGTGGAGTATTGCGTCCAGTTTTGGGCTCCACAATTCAAAAAGGATGTGGAGAAGCTCGAGAGAGTCCAGAGAAGAGCCACGCACATGATCAGAGGTCAGGAAAACAGACCTTACGATGACAGGCTGAGAGCCATGGGGCTCTCCAGCCTGGAAAAGTGCAGGTTCAGGGGCGATCTGGTAGCCACCTATAAGTTTATTGGGGTGTTCACCAAGATCTGGGGGAACGTTTGTTCACCAGAGCGCCCCAAGGGATGACAAGGTCAAACTGTTATAAACTCCTCCATGACCGTTTCAGGCTGGACATAAGGAAGAATTTCTTTACTGTCCAAGCCCCCAAGGTCTGGAGTAGCCTGCCATCGGAGGTGGTTCAAGCACCCACATTGAATGCCTTCAAGAGAAATTTGGATGCTTATCTTGCTGGGATCCTATGACCCCAGTTGACTTCCTGCCCCTTGGGCAGGGGGCTGGACTTGATGATCTTCCAAGGTCCCTTCCAGCCCTAATGTCTATGAAATCTATGAAATAATTTTCTCTGCTCTGCAAACAAGGCAGGGATTTTGTATCTGTAGCCCCTTAGGAAGCAGCCTCCCAGTGCTTATCCATAAGGCTACTAATTTATCCCCTTCAACCTTTCTTCATAAGACCTGGATCCCTTTTTGCCAGCATCAGACAAGCTTCCTGGATCTTCTTCCCAAATCTGTTCACAAGGACATGTTATGCATGTGTGAGGAATGTGTTGCGAACATGAGTGTCCCAGTGTGTGCATGTTGTTTTATGAGTGTGAGGGCTGTGACTTGGATGGCAGTGCATAAAGTAGATTGCAACAGAAACCTCTCCAGCCAAAGAGGAGAAAGTTACACAGGCTAGTGAGGCACGCTGCTTTTTGGGAACTATGCACAGATGCTGGGCACTGCAGGAAACTCCAGGGGGACAGATCAATGAGCACTATGAGCGTTTGTGCTGATTTCCTTGCAAATGTTTGTACATGTGTGTGTTTTCGTGTGTGCATGCATGAGTGTACTTGTATTGTTGTGTATTTGTATGTGTTTTGGTGCATATGCATAGGCATAAACAAAATTTTTCTCCCCTATAATATGCCCTTTTCTCTTCAGGCTGCTGCCAGAACTTCTTACAACTCTGCTTGTAACAGCAGAATCTTTTGCTCTGGATATGGTTTAACCTCTTCTGAATTCAGCAGGGAACTCCTGCTGGTTTGCATTTCTTCTCCCAGCTTCTGGTAAAGCCAGATGAACCCCCATCCTGACTGAGCTTCTGACTTCTTCCTTCTGCTCTAGGCCCTGACATAGAAGTTAATCTTTCTCATCCTTTTTTGTTGCCCAGATAGGGATCACTTAGCTGTCAGGTTGCAGCAGATGCCAAAGAGCAAGTGGATGTCACTGGGAGTTTGAAGCAGGACTTCACAGTGCAGTTGCAGAGAAAATACCTACTGCTTTTCCATTTTTACACCCAATCTGTATGTTTAATTTTAATTGGGAAACAAAATAGTGGACATAATGCATCCCTGCCCAAAGTTCGTCTCAATAGTGCAGAAGCCAAGGGAAAGA